AGGCTCGGCTGTGTTTGTGGACAAACTCTTCAAGCCAAAGCCGGAGTTTCTGGATGTCCTGAAGCAGTCCTATTCTGCAGAGGGCTTCAGTGTTGACTTTCTCAATTCTACAGAGGCCGCCAATACCATCAATCAGTATGTATCTGATAAGACTAACGGGAAGATAAACAAGCTGGTAGAAAGCCTGGATCCAAACACAGTTATGTACCTTCTCAGCTACATCTACTACAAAGGTAAAAGGTCTCAGCCTATGAGTTCCCTGACCTCTCGCTTTCATTGAGTTATGCTTTTAGTAATTCATAAGATCTCCTCTTTCTGCTCTCACAGGAAATTGGAAAACTCCATTTGATCCTCGAGATACCAGAGAAGATGATTTCAATGTGGAAGAAAACAAAAAGGTTCAGTCACACAGTTGAACATGGCGATGTTCTGTTTGTTCATTTTGTTTTTATTAATACATCTACAAAGCTGTTCATCTCTCACATTCCAGGTTAGGGTACAGATGATGAGAATGGAAGAAGATGTTAGTACTTATATCGACCAGGAGATCCACACATCAGTTCTCCACCTGCCCTTCAACAACTCCTACTCCATGCTGCTGCTCTTACCTGACAATATGACATTGCTGGAGAACAATATCTGCCCTGCGCATGTCAATAAGTGGTTGAAGTGGATGAAAACAAGGTGAACTGATTTTTTTGTCTTTCTTGAACAGTGCTGAAGGTTGTTGTATTTTTTTTTTGCACAGGAGTGACAGCTAGAGGAGTGACGGTTAGAATAAAATAGAATAGAAAATCCCTTTATTGTCCCACAATGGGGAAATTCTGGTGTTTTACAGCAGCAAAACTATAAAACAATAGGGCATAGAGCTTGGGATCCTGAGGTTCTGACTTCCAGCCCCAACTCCCACAGACTGCCACTCTTACCCCATTTACACTACCCTTGAAAAACCGATCCATGCCGAGACCACTCCGAGCTCGGATCAGTTAACCAGGCCGAGCTCGGTTCTGACGACCGTTTACACATCACGCTATCTTGGTTCCTCAACTCCTCACCTCCTAGTCACTATCTGCGGTATTACTGCCAGTATTGAAGGAGGAAATCAAGCAGTTGGTGGTGGTAATGCACCAAAAGTTGTTTGCCAACCGCCATAAAAAACAAAAACAAGAAGAAGAAGACGAAGAAGGAGGGAATCAAGCAAATCAAAATGGCGGCACCCGTCACATTCAGAAAATTATGCTTGATTATTATTGCTGTACTTCGGTGTTATTATTTAAAATGCCATTATTTAAAATGTTGTGTGGAGAAGATTTCGATTGTCGTTTATAGTTGAAGAAGAAGTTGTTCTTCTTCTTCTGTTTCTGGAGGGGAATTACCGCCAAGTACTGGAATGGAGTGTGAATCGGGATGTGCAGCCAGACGGAGATGACACGTTCTGCTCATGCGCTCTTGTTATCAGAGAACCGAGCCAGGGAAAAACCGAGCTGAGCCCACCTCTAGAACTGGTTTGGTTGTGTCTAGCTCGGTTCAGTTCAGTTTGCTTTCCATTTACACACGATAAGTTATCTCAGTTACTGAGTTCGGACCAGTCTCGGCACGGTTTTTCAAGGGTAGTGTAAATGGGGTATATGTCTCTGAGCAAAGACCCTTAACCCACCCAGCTCACCGGGCGCTGCACAATACTCCTCAAAGGGATGGGTTAAATGCAGAGAGTTCATGTCTTTGCACCATACTTGTGACAGTGAAATGACAATAAAAGTTGGAAAAAAAAACTATTATTTATTTTTTAGGAAATACAACATATTTGTTCCCAAGTTCTCCATCAAGACTTCCTACAAGCTGAATGATGTGTTGACTGGGATGGGAATGACAGACATGTTTGGGGATCGGGCTAATCTGAGCGGCATTGCAGAGGGACAGAATCTGGCTGTCTCAGAGGTAAGACAGAAACATATGAAGGAAGTGTCATTGCTTTTGTTTTCTCGACACAATCAACTCACTCTGCTTTAATTGCACTGTAAAGGTTGTGCACAAAGCCACGCTGGATGTAGATGAGACTGGAGCAACTGCTGCAGCAGTTACTGGTATTGGCATCACACTTCTGTCCTTACGCATCATTCCAGAGTTGAAGTTCAACCGTCCTTTCATGGCGATCATCATTGAGAGAAACACAAATGAGATGCTTTTTATTGGCAAGATTGTCAACCCAAACATCTGAGGAAAGAGAGCTTTTGTTGTGCAAACCAAATACAAGGGGAATACTTTGTCTGATGTTTTGTTCCTACTGCATACATAAATAAAAGATAAAAAAGGTTCATGTTTGTATTAGCAGTTCTTCAGTAAAAATGAATGCCCTATAATAAAGCCAAAACTAATTCCAACAGTCTGAGTGATATCTAATTGAATTCTGTGGAAATAAAAATTCTATTCACAGGAAGATCTGATGAATTTAATGGTATGTATGTTATCGTATGTTAACCTTGATTTGCATCATCAAACTTTAAGAAAAAAAGGCTTTACCAAGAAATAGCTATAGAATATGTTTGCACTTATGCTCTCCAAACCTTTATAGCATGTATAGTAAATTATGTTTCATGACTTGGTTTTATTTAAAATTTACACAGTGGGGATGAGTTAATAAAAATTTACAAGTGAAGATAGTCATTATACAAAAGGAAATATACCTTTTCAGCTCTGTTGTTTTGTACTGCAAAAGGCACAATTTTTTTGCTTGTTTGAAAAAAAAAAAAAAGGTAAATCTAAACTAAAATGAAAAGAACACAATGAATTAATTAATGTAAACAGATCGGTGATTGTAGCAGTCAAAGTGTAAAAACCAAAACGACAAAAGAAATGGAAAACAGTGAGTAGTCCGACAGCAAAAGAAAGGACAGAGTACAACATTATAATGCCAGCTGAAAAATATGTCATTTATTGCCTATGTCATCTATTTATACTGATCAGACAAAACATAATACTGAGAAAATAAAAAAATATTGTGAAAATGTCTGAGTTTCATAGAGGGATTGTTGGAAAACATATATGTGGTTGAAGACAGAGGGAAGACCAGGAACATCTGGGGTTAATGTATGATAATTACAGAGGAATAAGAGCAATGTGGTTGGTAATGGACAGGAATATAAAGATA